AATAGTATTTTTTTATGACTTCTTACCTACTCTTTTCCTGTTCTGAGCTGTTTTGTTTATGAATCTCTAAGAAATCATATAAGAATCGCATAAGAAATCTATATAAATCATATAAGAAATCATAAAAAATAGTTTTGTTGGGATATTTAATCCAAAAGGAATAATTTCAGGAAAGTATTAAGCACATAAAATGTAATGCAGAGCTGGGAAGGTGGCCCAGTGGTAGAGCGCTTTGACGTGGATTTGTTCTCCTTAAGCAATTACTCCAGGAATAATAAACAGTGGAAGCTGAATGATGTTCATTCAGGTATTTCTTTAGAAATTAAACCAATCTTTATTGGGTATAAAGATCACTTACAATGTCATTACCTACACCCTTTTCATTTAAAAATATTTATATTCTGTAGCAATGTCATTGTCGTTATATATTATTGAAAATAAGAGAACCCATGGGACCTATGTTTCTTTGGAGTTGGCTTACTTCACTTAATAAATTTTTTTCCAAATCTTTCCATTTCCTAACAAATTGGGCAATGTCATTCTTTCTGATGGAGGTATAGAATGCAATTGTATATATAAATACCACATTTTCTTGATCCATTCATCTACTGAGGAGCATCTGGGTTGGTTCCATATCTTAGCTATGGTAAATAATGCTGCAATAAACATAGTTGTGCTGGTAGTTTTAGTATGGTCTTGTTTGTGATCCTTTGGGTGTATGAACAAAAGTGGGATTGCTGGGTCATAGGGGAGCTTTATGTGGAGTCGTTTCAGGAAACTCCATACTTCTTTCCAAAGTGGTTGAAGAAGTTTACACTCCTACCAAGAATGCAGTAGGATTCCCTTGTGGCCCCATCCTCTTCAGCATTTGTTGTTGTAAAAATATGGATTGCTTCACGAATTTGAAAGTCATCCATGTGTATGGGCCATGCTAATTTTTTTGGATCATACCGATGTTAGTGTATGGGCTGCCGGATTAAGCACAGAACATTTTTTATATAGAAAGTGTAATTGATTTTCTTAAACTAGACAATTCCACAAAAAAGTAAGTTCAAAAGAATTTTCATGAAATTTTAGAATCATGCATTTCTTACACAAGCACATATTTTTGATGTTGGCATAATTTGTGGAGGGGAAGGGAAAAATGTTTAAATAGGGATACAAGTAGACCCATTGCAACGATGAAAGGAACTTCACAACTTTGGCACCTCTACTACTGCCATACCTGCAGATTGTAATTTGATTGCTTATTTTGAGGTAGCATCACAATGCCTGGGCCTGCTTGGACTGTGGTCATCCTAACACAATCAAAATACATTGCACCCAGCAAATGGTTAGAGTTTCCTGAAACTTCTTTTTTTTTTTTTTGTCTGGGCTTGCCTGGAACTGAAATTCTCTAATCTCTGTTTTCTAAGTAGATACTATTACAGGCTTGAGTCACTTTATCCAGTAAAAGTATACAATTTCAAGGTATCTTGATATTGCCTATATTTGGGCTTAACATATATAGCTAACCTTAATTTTCTCCCTCTTTTGTTTAATACTCTGAGTTGAAAACATTGACTTTCTTGCTATACATGGCTTTGTTTTCGGTGGAATCCCATCACAATCCAAAAAATCTCCCAAAAGTTTATGTCAAATCATGGAAAAGAAGGCTGCAGGTTGGGAAAAAAAAATAAAAACACTGATCCTTAACTTATATTTGCAGTATATTTATAGTGTTAGTCAATACTTTCTGAAGTATGAGAAGAGAAGGAAGACAGAAATGTGAAAGATGTCAGGTCTCTGCGGAATTTCTGTAGTTGTCACTTCATGTTATATTCTTCCTTAAAAATTGCTTTATTAAAATCCTCTGAGTGGATATTGGTTGGGCTGTTTGGTAACCTTACCCAAGAAATGACGCTGATTTTAGAAGGCTGATGATTTGGTAAATAAAGGAATAATGAGAATGAGCACTGATATTGTCACAGAATGAGCCGACAAGGTTCATTGCTGAACAGCAAAAGAAAGCAGTTTCAAGTCTGATGATGCACATTGGAACATATATAGATAGATACATATATGTATACGTATACAAACACACGTGAAAAAGTATATATCCAGTAGAATATAGAGAGAAAGTTGGTGTGACAAGTATTAAACTATATCAAACTGGTTTCAGGAAAGGTCCAGTAAAATATCAATAGTTTAGCATAGATTTTGCATAGATTTGTAAAGGATGAAAATTCTTTCCTCATTTTATACTTTACAAATATCTTTAGTACATTTTAAGTTTTTTTATATTGTAGTTGGAATATCTATATAATGCTGAGAATTGGAATTACATAAAGTATGCAATATGAATAGGCCAGCCAGTATAGGAAAGTTCATGAGATTCTTATTTCCAATTAACCACCAGGAGAAATGGAGTTCCAGTTCAGATTTTATGTAGAGCACTGGCCTTGAACACAAAAGTACCAGTCAGGCTGTGAGTTTAAGCCCTAGGATCTACAGAAACAAAAACACAAAATATAACTTGGAGTTAGATATTATAATGAAGCATTTTTATATACTCTACATTGTTAGAAAGACTAGATTTCAGTGATATCTTTATAACCTATCATAATAAGTGATATTGTCCATTTATTAAGCAGAAAGGCTTACTCAGATTTATCAGTTTGAAGGTTTCAGTGTATGTTCAGTTGGTTTTATTGCTTTGGTGGCCTGTGACAAGACAATGTCAAGGTGAGGAGTATGTCAAAAAGAAATGTTTTTGACCTAGAATGATTAAAAGAGAAAAGAAAGTAGATGAGTGTGCATGTTCTCAGAGGTTTCACTCTGAAGAACTTAATCTCCAGAAGAACTATGCAGGTATTCTCCACAGTCTGGGAGGAAATGGAAAGTCATTTTTCTTTAACACATAGGTCTTTCTGGGGCATTCTAAATTCAAATGGCAACATCCTCACCAGTGATAACGAATTGTCCAGGGGGGGAAGCAAATAGATATTGCTATAAATTCCAATCAGATCTCAGCAGACTAAATATTTTATGGAATCCCTATTAAAATAATTTCTTGCAGACTGACTGGGTCTTCATACTACATATTTGTATATCGGTGTGTATGTGTGGGTTTGAATAAACTAATACAGCAATGTAGCAAATTAAAGTATTAGTAAGGCCTTTCTCTTCTCATATCATGAAAGCCTGCCACAATTCTCAATCAAATCCCATTCAAGATTCAAATTTTAATGCTGTCCCAAAACTTCTGTATGCAAACCCAGGTACATTCACTTCATTTAAGACGGCAATGATATATGAAAATTTTAAGTCTTCCATGGAAAAAAATTGTATTAAGCGAAGTTAGCCAGGCCCAAAGAAACTTAGGTCCATTGTTTCCCTTAATTGCAATAGCTAGTATATGTCTGATTCATGCAAAAAGTCAGATAAGTTGATGTTAGGGAAATGAACCCTAATATATGTATTCAAATGTTTTTTTTTCTTTTAGGTGATTGTTTTCAACACATTTATAAAATTATTTCTTTGTTGCTTTGTATGTCCCTCTCCCATGGTATAACCCCTTGCTTTCACTGTATTTAAGGTTGGTAAAATTTGTGAAGGGGAAGGGAAAAAAGAAATGTTTAAATAGGGGTACAAGTGGATACATTCCAACAATGAGATGTACAAGTCGTTATATGGAAAAACGAACTTTACAACTTTGGTGGGGGCGGGGATGAGGATTGGGTAGAGGAGCAGGGGAGGGTGGATGGGAAGGGATGGGAAAAGGAAACAAAGGAGGAGGCTACAGTGCTTGATAAGAAATGTACTCATTATCTTGCCCATGTAATTGTAACCCCTCTGTACAGTATTTTCACAAGAAAAAAAGAAAAAAAGAAAAATTTAAGTCTTCCAATTACGTTGTCACCAAGGAAACATGTACAATATTTCCTTAAAAAATATCTAGATTGTAGAACTTTAGCCAGAAAATTGAAGGAGTATACATTATAGGATTTAATTTAAATATTTAGTCACTGAAATGGATATTCTATATCCACAACTTAGAGCCCTTTCAAAATACATAATTGCAAACCTCATCTATTACCATCTTCCGTGAAGAGTCCTTGCTGAAAACGAACCAGATGTGGTAAACCAATTAAAATGTACGCCATTGTCAAATGCTGTTGTTTTAAAGCATGGAAGTGATAGAACAATTAATGCCAGTGAACAGCTGGTTCTAAGGAGTATGGATAGTGATTACTTTGGACTCTAGGTGGAAAAATCCACAGATGTTTCAGATTGTGCTTCGTTTTGGCATTTGTGAGATATACTTTAAAAAGCACAATGAATGAAAGCATGTTGTTTTATAAAGATTTTCTGACTGACAAACCAGGGAAAGAAAACTTATTGAAATATTTCAAATAAGAAGACAGACAATAGGGTGGGTAAGATGTGGTATGCAGCTTTAAATACAGACTGAAGCAAACCAAAGAATGGGAAAATTTTTTCCCTTAAAAGCTTTCTGGGTGTATTGTGCTATACACTATAATGATGAAATGATCATTTCTTTGGAAAAGTCATGAAACAACATTGTCACCTGTTGAATTTCTTTATAAAGTGAATCTTAAATGACAAGAATGAAGAAATTTAAATATGTTAATAAAACATTATCAAGTATTACTTTAGTTTTTGATTAAAAATTAAAGCAAACCGGCAGACTACTAGTCCATTAACATTTATGTTTCCTGTCATATTTATTTTCCTTTTGTTCCTCTTTTTTGGGTGGTGATATTTTTTTTCAGAAAGGCAACCTAGTCTTAACCATTACCCACAAAATTTATGCTGTCATAGAATCTGAGTTTTTTTTTATTAAATTAAGACAATAGTAGGCTCATTTTATGCCAAACCAAAACATAAACACCAAAAACATTTTTCACTAAAAAACCATTCATAAAAAATCATGAGGTGGAAAAGGCTCTGGAGGACAGGTCTAATCCAGGCGCCGGAGGAAAGGTTAGGAAAACACCTGAACATGTGGCATCCCAATGCAGGGCAGCCGGTGCAAAATGCAAGTATCCCTTACATGGGGTGCCCTGGAGGTTCCAATCCTGGGTGTCCACCTCCTTTGTGCCCACAACCTGTAAATCCGGCCATTCCTCCTGGTCCTGTTCCCGGGTGTCCCTTTCCTCCAGGACCTCCCCAGGGGAACCCAGCTTTCCCTCCATGTGGGCCCTCTTACCCTGTGCCACAGCCACAGTATCCAGGATAACAACCCTCAGGTCCTTACCCACCCCATGCCCACCACCTGCACCTGGCATGTGTCCTGTGAATCCCCTGGCTCCTGGCATAGGCCCACGAGCCCCAATGGACAAGAAAACACTGAAGAAAATGAAGAAAACACATAAAAAGATGCACAAACACCACAAGCATGGCAAGCATTCCTCCTTTTCCTCCTTCTCTTCCAGCAGAGACTCTGACTGAATTCAGGGCCTGGACCCTCCCCTCAAGTCTCACCAGTTTTGCTCTCATCAAGCTTCTGCTGTGGTGTTGTACTAGGGGGAAATTAGCGCTCTGATCCCCGCCCCACCCTCATCTGAGCCTTACCCTGCTGTTCAGCCCTGACTGGCTAGGGAAATGGGTAAAGTATTTCTGTGGGCTAGTAAAGACCATCTCCTTCCTGGTTGATCGATCTTTTGTTTTCTTTTTCTTTTTTCTTTTTTTTTGGTTCAAGACTGGGACTCCAGCTCAGTACCTAATGCTTTTACTCATTTGCTGGCACTCTACCAATTGAGCCGTGCCTCCAATATCAAGAGCTGAAGACTTTAACAGAGGAGCAGTTTTTTGAAGATGGTGAAACCTGTGAGCTAAATGCTGAAGACAAGTTTAAATTCTGTAAAATGTGAGTTTTTTCCTTCCATTTCCGTTTGTAATACGTGTGGTTGGTGGAAATTTCATTATGATAAAAAAATACTGTATTTTTTTTAATAAAGGTAGCATACTAGGATCATTTAGAGCTAGATATATTCCCAGTAGGCCTCTTAATGATTTCATTAACTGCAAGGCTGCCTTGATTCAAAGCAAGAGTCCATTTGGTTGATGAGCTTTCTTGAAATGTAATCTCTACTACTTAGCTCAACATGCTAGCTCAGGTCCTACTCTCATTTTCCAGTTCTCAGTCCAAATAAAGCTATTTTTTTCTGGTCAAAAAAAATCATGAGGATTTGGGGGAAGATGGAGGAGGAGAAGCTGGAGGGTAAACAAGCTCTTACATAGAAAGCAGTTTTAATGTTCCAGTGAACAGTCCTAGGCTAGAGAGTCACACCAAGTGTGCCATCACAGTACAGAGAGTTTGGCCAAAGAGGGAAAATCCAGGCAAGATAACAGATCTGAGCACTTGCCAGTAGCCACAGCTGAGGTGGCAGTAGGGACAGCGCCACTGGCTGTAGCCCCCATCCCTACAGAGAGAGTCCACGACAAAGGCCCCAGATGTGGCCGGTGAGTGGATTCTACTCAACACCAGCAAGAACTAACAAGGAGCAGATATCTTCATCCTGCAGATCACAGACCAGAGACGACGCAGGAAACAACACTCTGGCATGAGTAGAATCCTGACATCCTCACTCCTTCTCAGGGAGCAGAGGAGGGAAGGCCACCCATCCCCCACTACCAGAGATCTCCATCTAAGATACTGACCTCCACAGGGCTGAACTCCAACTCAGGCCTTGGAAGAAAACAAAAGAGTCATTTAGTAGGTCACAGGAAGTAGACATGTCTTGCCAGGCTCAGCTAAACCCAGGGGAATGTCACCCCACCCAGCCAGAAGAACCAGTGTCCTCAGAGGAGTGATTTCCTTCACAGGGTTAACAGAGCCAGAGGCTGCCCCTCCCTACAGCAGCCTAGACAAACAATTGAAACTCAGTAAAAAAAAAAAAAAAAGACCCTGAGAATGGGTTCCATGAGTGTTTCAGGAGTTGCCCCACAGGGAAAAGCTACTGTTTGCTGAAAGGCCTCAACCCTACCTCATCACGGCATTTCCACACTGGAGGAAACAGCCATCTCCCTCTTTTGTGATACTCAAAGCAGATCTCCCTTCCACCGAATAGCCTGGGAAGAGGATCACAAAATCCTGGGTAAAGCAGAGCATTTTTCTGCCAGCACGAAAATAATTGACTTAAGAAACCAGTCAAGCAAAAGGAAAACCAAACACCACAAGCACACCAGAGACTCCACCAAGAGACTGGTTATGGACACAGAGGAGATACAGGGTCTTCCCATTCCCCCCACGCCCCACAAAAAAAAAAAAAAACCCAAAAATCAAAGAAGTCTTTTTTTAACCATTTTTCAATTTTTATTTTTTAAAAAAGTGTTTGATGTTAATTTTTTTCTCATAATTTTTATTTTTGATGTGTGTGTGTGTGTTTAATCTCTTTTGACATTTTGGTCCTTTTTTATTGTTTTCATTTTTTTCTCTCTCTCTTTCTTTTTTGTTTGACTTAATTGCTGTTCAGCTCATCCCCAGATATATACCTGTGGTCAATTATTAGACCTTATCCCCCATTGTGTACATACTTACTCCTGAAATTTATTACTCGATTCAAAACATCTTAGGCTTAATTTCTTTAATAGCAGTATTATCTCTTTATACCAATATAATTTTCAATTAACTAATTTTAGTTTTCTTTTATTTTTTAGTTTTTCATGTTTCCTTTCTATTTCTCCTCTCATATCATCCTATCCTTATCTTCTCTCAATATCATTTTTTAAACTTACATAATTTTTAAGTGTTTCACTTCTTAGATTTAAATTTTTGTTTATCCATTTTTTCTTTATTTTTAAAAAATCTCTCTCCTATCATTCTGTCCAATCCATTTCCCTCTCAGAGATTAGGACTTGGTTAAATTCACTCTTCTTTTACCTTTGCACATCCCTCTAATCCTATTTTCCTCCACAATTTTCCCTAAATCTAATAATTTCTGGTGTGTCAAGTTCTTTTTGCTTTTATTACCCCATTAGTCCATGGTTGTTTGAAGATGAATAGGTTGTATCTGATGAAGTAGATTGTATCTGCAGCCATTTTGACTGTGCAACTACAGGATTCTGGTTGATGCTTGCCTTAAAATAGTGGTCTAGCACAAAATTGGTTTTACTTTCATACCAAATGGGCAGAACAAGCCGGAAAACACAAGGAAAATGACAAGTCCAGGTATATGAATTCCAACTCATGATAATCAGGTGACAGAATACTTAATGAATAATCCAGAAGAGAGTTCCCAAAAAGCTCTACAAGCACTACTGGTATACATGGTGAATGAATACATTGAAAACTTGTAAAGGACTCATTGTGAGCATGATAGAGAGTGAGAGGGGGCAAAGCAAAGATTAATACAGGAATCTTGTGAGCATGAGGAAGCTACTCAAAGATTAATATAGGAATTGCACACGAGCAGGTTGAGAACAGTCAAAGAGAAATACAGAAATCGCATGAGAAGGCTGAGATCAGTCAAAGAGAAAGACAGGAATTGCATGATCGTGAGGAAGCTGTTCAAAGAGTAATACAGGAATTGCAAGAGAGGGATGAGAATACAGCAAGATCAATAAAGGCATTCATGGAATCCATGAACAGCCAGCTGAATGAATTCAGGGAGACCACAAAGGGAATGCTCAATAGAGCGCAAGAAATGTAATGGGAGCCCAAGGAAACCATAACCAATCAAGTAAGTGATTTGAGAAGAAACACTGACCACCAAATTAAGGAAGTAAAGTTTATACAAGACCTAAAACAAAATTCCAACGAACAATTTGAAGCCATCAACGCCAAACAATTAGAAGGAAAAGAAATAAAAACAAAGTAGAAAGTCTTGACAGTTGGTTAGACCATGCAGAAGATCGAATCTTGGGCATTGAAGACAGCCTAGATATTATAAAGAAAGAATGTATAACTATCCAAGACAAATCCAAGAAATATGATAGATCTATTCAACATTTGGAAAGCACCATCAGAAGGCCTAATCTGAGGTTAATGGGTGTAGAGGAGCACCTAGAGACAGAAGTTAATGGTTTAGGAAATTTATTTCACAGAATCGTAGCAGAGAACTTCCCAAACATGCAAAAAGATAGGCCTATTCAGATACAAGAAGCTTTTAGAACCACCAAACAAGACTTACAAAAGATACTTGAAGATGTCCTACACATAGAAAACCAACAAAACCACAATAAAGGCCAAGAAACAGGCTCCAAGGGAATAAAATTAGAACTTAACACCAAAAGCCACCAAAGAAAGTCCTCTAACACATGGAGGCTGAACAACACACTGTTGAATCACCAGTGGGTCATGGAAGAGATTAGAAAGGAAATGCAAATGTTCATGATATTCCACAACAATGAACACATAAATTACCAGCTCCTCTGGGACACAGGAAATGCAGTAGTCAGAGGCAATTTTATAACTCTGAGTTCATACATCAACAAATTAGAGAGATCTGAAACCAACAATTTAAAGAGACATCTGAACCTCATTGAAAAAGAGCAACCAAATAAACTCCAATCCAGTAGATTGAAAGAAATAATTAAAATTAAATCAGAATTAAACGAATTAGAATCCAAAAAAAAATCATAGAATCAACAAAACAAAGTGTTGGTTCTTCGAAAAAATTAACAAAAATTGACAGATGCTTAGCAAATCTTATCAGAAAAAGAAGAGCACACACGGAAATAAACAAACTCAGAAATGTGCATGGAAACATCACCACAGAAACAACCAAAAGCCAGAACATTAGAAGGGAATACTTCTCAAACCTTTATGCTAATAAGTTTGAGAACCTGGTAGAAATGGAGCTTTTCCTAGCAAATATTGACATGCCAAAACTAAACCAAGATGAGTTTAATCAAATTAACAGGCCCATATCAAGCATTGAGATAGAAGCAGCAATAAGAGAACTCCCATCTAAGGACCAATGGATTTACAGCGGAATCCTACAAGGCCTTCAAAGCAGAGCTCACACCAATACTCCTCCAACGCTTCAATGACATTGAAGGAGAAAGCGCATAACGAGACTCATTCTATGAAGACATCATAACCCTCATCCAAAAACCAGGCAGGGACTCATCAAAGAAAGAGAACTAGAGGCCCACTTCTTTGATGAACATTGATGCAAAACTTCTCAACAAAATTTTGGCTAATCGACTTCAACAATTCATCCAAAAAATCATACACCACGATCAAACATTATTCATTTCAGGGATGGAAAGCTGGTTCAATATACACAAATCAATTAACATAATTCATCACATCAACAGGAGCAAAGATAAGAACCACATGGTTATCTCAATAGATGTAGAAAAAAGCGTCTGACAAGTTCCAAAACCCCTTTATGATGAAGGCTCTGGAAAACTAAGGAATCCAGGGAACATTCCTCAATACAATAAAGGCTGTATATGACAAACCTTCAGCCAGCATTACACTTAATGGTAAAAAAAACTAA